CCTCCCCCATGCCCTCCAGCCTTTATGCTTTGTTGCCTTGTGCTGTTTGCCTTGTCGTTGTTTGTTGTGTTGTGGTTTCCCTCCCTGCCTTACGCTGTTTGCTCCTACCCGCCTTGCCTGAAAGTACTCGAAAACTTGAGTAGATGGCGTTCTCGCCACAGCAGATGGAATCTGCCATACTTGCGACAGTTTAGATGCCTTTTTCCCACATCAAAAGTCGATGTCATACTTGCGAAGTTTCCCAAGCTGAAGGGTGTGCCGATGTAAAAGTCGGAGATTTGGCCAGGCATAGGATATCTTGCCTTGGCGTGCGTATGAAGCACACACTCAAAACACACACACACACACACACACACACACACACATATAAAAAATAAAAAGTGCGGCCTTGTTTATTTCTCTGGCTGAAGATTTATTCCGATTTTTCTCATCCTACACACACACACACACACAAACCGACATTGCCAAGCTTCACCAAATGAGCAAAATGGGCTTGAATCGTCCCCTAGAACATGGAAGTATCCAGTGTTGTCACACGGGGATCCCTAGGGCCGAAGCCGGGATAGGGGTTTCACCCCCGGACCCCCGCTGCGAGGCTACCCGGCCCCCGCCCCCGCAAAAACACCCCCGCCCCTGCCCCAACCACGCCACCCCTGCTCCCATCCTGTCTCTTATACACATCTAGATGTGTATAAGAGACAGCTCTCTCTCTCTCTCTCTCTCTCTCTGAGGTACGCTCACTGTTGGGAGAAACTTGATGGCCAAGAATCCAGCTGTCCGTTTGCTTCCCCTCCTAGATTACTAGTTTCTGATCCATTTAGGAACCAGAAGTTGTATCGTTTCAGCACATCGACCTTGCCTTGCCCATAGTGGTAGTTTGCATGGAAGACGACAATGTCTCCTCCTCCGCTTTCCCTCCACTCTTTTGTCACGTATCCGTCTCCAACCATTTTTCCAGAAGGAAAGGACGCGCTAGGGAGCACTCGGAAGTGAAAGAAGGAGTCGTCCGCACTGCGAATCTCCTCCAGCACATCGTTGAAGGCGTGCTGATTCTTCGTTGTGTTCCTTTGCCGCAGTTTCATTGTCCATCTCTGAAGGACCTCGATCGATGGCGGCGTAGGTCGGAAAAGCAGGAAGTGGGTGCAGAAGTTGAGTTTGACAGGTGGAGGGGGAAGACGATCGGAGCCATTCATCGCAAACTTCTCAACGACTCCATCGTGCGAGAAGTACCCATCGGCATGTCCTGTGAAATAAGGAAAAGGATTCTTTGCGAACACAACGTCAATGTCGCTGTACAGGACAGAATAGCCGTGCTCGAGGCAAGCCAGGATCCGTGATGGACGTCGGGTCACCAACTCACCATATCCTGTGCTTCCAAATTCCAACCATTTCTGTGTCTGAGGAATGCTCCCCGAATCCATCACGGCTGGTTCTGTCTCTGTAGTTCGAAACAGAACTGTGTGGCCAGGCCAGTGTCTCTGCAGTCGATGCCATGTGGCAATATCTTCGGCAAACACAAGTACCCGGTCACTGAGCCCTACCTTGTGCAGGGAGATCAACCAGTTCAGAAACAAGTCCCAATATCCCTGGTTCACAGTGCATACGATAACAACCCTCTCCACCGCGATCCGTTTCAGCACCGACCCTAGCTCTGTCATAGTCGTCCATTCGATGGCTGCATCGGTCTCCGGTCGCTTGGGCTCTGGTTCTTTGTCAAAATGTTGTACTTCACCATCAGGCTGAGCTCTGTTCTCAGGTGAGTGCCGACTCGGAGGTGCGCGTACAGCAGAAGACGGACTCGGAGCAGGCACAGCGTACTTGCTGTGTTCTGTTGATGTCAGCTGTGAGGTATTCCAGCTCTCACCTGTACTTCTCCCAGCTTCCTCCTGTGGTTTGTCTTCGTGCTCTGGCGGAAGTTCGTTGTGATCATTGATCCAGAGGGAAAGGGTTGGTATGTGTTTAGAGGCAAACCTTACCTCTGCCACGTCATCGATCGCTACTGGGCGAGCATATCTTCGACAAGGACGGCAGTTGGGGGTCAAGCTGGCCCAGGTGATCTCCCAATTGAACCAAATAACCATCAGGACAAGCAGAAACACAGCGAGTCCCATCAGCCTTGGCACGGTCCATTGCTGATGAACTGTCATCTGCTCTGTATTTCCCCAAAAAAACGCCCAAGTACATGTACACACAACATTCACCAGTAAGTGAACTTCACTTCAGCATGAGGACTTGTGTTGCCCTTGCAAACTTGTACTGCACACACACATGCATGCAAACACTCACACGCACCCGCACACACACACACACAC